GGAGAATGTATTGGGCAGTGACTGGGTCAGGTGTGACTGAAGAATCTGGTGAACCTGTAGATGGATGGGCAGTGGTGCAGCAAAATCATCCTGAGCATGGAAGCGCTGCTGGACCTCCTGGTTGGCCTCTATAGCAAGTGCAACCTTGACTCACCACTCTGGAGGCTCATCTCAGACTTCCTTGAGTGGGAATGAACCTTCTAATTATTGAGAGTAATGTGAGCAAGTTCCTCATCAATGACATCTGGGCAGGCTACCTAGAGTCAACACCCACCTTACAACTGGTGGTAGGTCTGAGAGCCCCACCATCTCCATCATAGCCCACTACCTGAGGACCCTAGGCAGTGTAGTATCTGGCTGAGCTGGCTTAGCAATGGGCATTATATGTGTATTTTAATGAACTGAATAGAGCGAAATATTATGAGTCATAGGGCATGGAGAGTATATGAACTTAACAAGGCTTAGCTAATTTTTTTAGTTGCTATTTTGCAAATGTTGTTAATATTGTTTTATAGATTATAAATGCCATCTTGGTTTGCTAATCATATTAAACGACTTTTGCTGTAACTGCGATGTGTAGCTAATTTTTAAATTTCTGTTTTATAGATTTAATAGTGTTTTATAGTTTATTGTTTTATTGATAATGTGCTAATTATTTTATATTATTGGTCCTGTATTTGTGATGTTCTGTTACTGTTATTTGTTGTGTGCAAGCCACTTTGAGATTGATTTGAATGAAAAGTGGCATAGAAACACAATCAAACAAATCTAATCTTCTGGATGTCGTCAGAGTCCAACTTCAGCCCTAGCTAGGGTCAGGGATGTTGATGGAAGCAATATTCCATAACATCCTGTAAAGAGTATGGGTTGCTCGTGCGTAAGTTGCCGCCTCTCCTGGCTTTGTTGCCTTGTTAAACCTTTCAGTCTGGAAAGCCCTTCACTTCGTGGCTGCCTCAGTCACTAGCAGAATCCGTCAGTGGGCGTTTCTTAAACCTTTTCCAACATAAAAGTTGTTTGACACCCAGTCTCCTCCTACTCTCTCTGCGCGGAAGTCTTCTGCGCAGGGAGGGCGTGGGTAGCGGAGGACCCGTGCTCTCCCCGCTGGTGTCCGGTGAAGAGTCTTGGAGCCCTCTCGCCGATTCCCCCATCTGCCCCTCCTTATTCCTGGTGTTGCACTGAATTGCTTCCCCATCTGCTGAGCTGCCTCTCTCCCTGCTGGGCCCTTCTCCAGCATCATTTGAGAGCCTTCCCTTCGCCTCTAGCTCCGATGTCAGTTCCCTGACACATCCAAAGAGCTCCCCCATTTCTGCTTCATAGAGACAGAACATTCCAGCTCAACTCTCTTGCACACATGTATCCTTCCTGTTATGACCTGCTATGTATTCCTGCTGAAAGGTGCTCATTGCAGAAGTGGGAGCAGCAGAACTTGCAGGTTCACAGTTGATGGAAGCAATTCTTTTGAATACCAGTTGCTGGAAGCCACAAGAGCAGAGAGTACTCTTGGGCTTGGGTCTTGCTTGTGGGATTCCCATTGGGGCAGCTGGTTGGTCACTGTGAGGACAAGATGCTGGACTAGATGAGTCATTGGCCTAATCAAGCAGGCACTTCATCCCAATTCTTAAACCTAGGTCTGGGGGTTGGAGAGAGACAATATAAGCCATTGAAATAGGTATGGTTATCTATGAAGCCCTTAAGTCTATGCCACACGACATTCCATGCCCTTGGCTTTCAGATGAAAAACATTGTCATTCACATCTTCTTGAGTCATTAAACTTCTCCCAGTTTTATGACAAGATGGAATTAGCAGCAAGCTCGCGATGGCACGGGTAGCCTGAGGGTGGCTTTAGCCATTGCGGTGACATGGCTCTAATAACAAAAGACGGGGAATGACATCTCATTATGGCTGTCAATGCTGACTCTGAATTATGGCCAGGAATCCACTTTGCTTTCGTTCTCTCCTTGGCTGCGTGTTTCTGGGCCCACACATATTAGGACACGGGGAGAAATGTATCCTCAAATATTTGCAAAGTAGTGAAATCAGACAGGCCTGGGGCACGTTGAGAGATCAGTATGTGTTGTTATGATTTATAGGTGTGGGCGGAAACCACTTGGCAAATTTTGCCTTCATTCATTCATTCATTTCCATTACATTTATGAATCAATTCCCAGGGAACACCTTGAAGTGATTTAACAATGAAAACGTACATACAACTTAAGAACGTAAGCAGAACCTTTTGGATCAGGCCTATCTTGTCCGGCTTCCTCACAGTGGCCAACCAGAGGCCTATGGGAAACCCACAAGCAGGGTCCAAGCACTGTGTTCATCTGGAATACTCAGCAACTGGTATTCAGGAGCATTGATGCCTCTGAGCATGGAGGCAGAGCATAGCCATCATGACTGATTTCATCATTCAACATTTTCATATATACAAACAATTTCAAGCCTAACACAGATAGAGCTATTTCTCTCTGTGTGTGCAATTCCTTTAACAATGTCCAGGTATTTCCAAATCTGCTAATTTGACTCAAAATTTCATGCAAGGGAAAGTTTAGTGGGGGTTGAAGCCGCAGGTCTTATCAGCCTAGGTGAGTGCATACAACTGTCCAGACTCTATGGACTGCCTGACCCAGTCTACCCTGACCATTGGCTTTGCTGACTAGGGGCTCGTACACACACTCTTGTCCTAGTTACAGGTAGGTAGCCGTGTTGGTCTGCTGTACTCAAAACAAAATAATAATAAAATATCCTTCCAGTAGCACCTTAGAGACCAAGTAAGTTTGTTATTGGTACAAAAACTCATACCAATAATAAACTTAGTTGGTCTTTAAGGTGCTACTGGAAGGAATGTTTTTATTTTGTTTTGACACTCTTGTCCTGTGTGTCAAAAGCACAGGTCCAAGTGGTTTTCTGTTTGCCCCATGCTTTCTAGGCACAGGTCTGAGCAGTTTTGCCTTTGCTCACCACTTTCCCCCAGAAAACCTGCTCTTTAGTACTAAATCAGAATAAATCACAATCTGCAGGAAACCTTATTTGCTTTGATTCAGTGTTACAGACTGAATTTCCCTGGGGGAAAGTGGTGGGTCAAACTTTGAAATTATTATTTCCCCCCAAAATGTGTATTTTGAAAGGCGGGGGGGGGGAGCCCATTCATACTTGATTCTCATGCGGAAATAGAATGGAGTGGATGTAAAAGTTCGTGCTGTTGTTACTACCAGGACAGACTACTGCAATGCATGGTACTTGAAGATGGTTCAGAAACTACACCTAGCACCCAACATGATTTCCAGATGGTTTACTGGGACAAGAAGGTGTGAATCCATGACAGTGGTTCTGGCCCAACTGCACTGGCTGCTGATTTGTTTCTGGTCCCAAACTAAAGTGCTAGTTTTGACCTCTAAAGCCTCCAAAATTTGGTGGGTACAGGCTTGAGCTCATTTTATCATTGTGAGAAAAGTCTCATGGCAGAAGTTAAAGGTAAAGGGACCCCTGACCATTAGGTCCAGTCGTGGCCGACTCTGGGGTTGCGGCGCTCATCTCGCTTTATTGGCCGAGGGAGCCGGCGCACAGCTTCCGGGTCATGTGGCCAGCATGACTAAGCCACTTCTGGCGAACCAGAGCAACGCACGGAAACGCCGTTTACCTTCCCGACGGAGCGGTACCTATTTATCTACTTGCACTTTGACGTGCTTTCGAACTGCTAGGTTGGCAGGAGCAGGGACCAAGCAATGGGAGCTCACCCCATTGCGGGGATTCAAACCGCCGACCTTCTGATTAGCAAGTCCTAGGCTCTGTGGTTTAACCCACAGCGCCACCCATGTCCCAGGTGGCAGAAGTTAGATCCATACAATTGTAGAGATGGAAGGAACTCCAAAGCTCATCTAGTGCAACCCTCTGAAATAAAGAAAACACAGCTAAAGAAACAATGGCAGATGGCCTTTGAACATCTTCTTTAAAAACCTCCAATGAAGGAGAGTCCATCACCTTACAAGGCAGTCTATTCCATTATCAAACAGCTCCCACCATCAATACATTCTTCCTAATATTGAGTCAGAATCTCATTTCTTGTAATTTTGCTCCAAGTTTGCTCCAAGGTGTTCCTTGCACTAATTCAGATATTTGAACATAGCTATCATATCACCACTCAAATCTTCTCTTCTGTAGGCTAAACATACTCAGGTCTTTCAATGGTACCGTATATGATGTTGTTTTCAGGTCCCTTAGCATTTTTGAACATGTTCCAGCTTGTCAAGATCCATTTCAAACTGTGGTGCCGGAATTGCACATCGTACTCCAGGTGGGGTCTGACCAATGCAGAATAAAGTAGTACTATTACTTCCATTGATCTGGACACTATACTTCTGTTGATGCAGTTTAGAATAGCATTAGCCTTTTAGTCGAAATCTCATGATATCTTTCCCTGACACTTATTTGAGACATGGGAAGCCTTTGAAGCTAGTGATCAAGCCCGTGTTACCATTACTGATTTTTGTTCTTAAGAGAAGTCCAGACCACTGATTTGCAGAATGAAGGAAAGGACATTCGCAAGCATCCACTGACCACCGTGAAGGCAAGAGAAATGAATTAAAAGCCTTGCAACCCACACATGATAAGGTCTCCAAAACTTTCTCTTCCATTTCAAAATTTTAACATCCTTTTCTCATAAATTGTTGGAGAGTGGTACAATAGCAACAACAGCACACAGAGAGGGAGGCGTAGACAAACACACACACACAAAAGAGTTTTTCAGCATGGCCCTGGGGGAAACACAAATGGTGATCCAAGACTCCACTAACAGCAGGCAGAATTTGTGGCAGTTCTACTCTTAACCAATTTCTTCCTGTTCCACCTCACTGCAGGAACTAGACTTATATACTTTGCACGGGAAGTACAATGGCAAAACTACAATGTTTAAGATCCTTCACACCATGTGGAGAAACAACTAAACTCTAGCGTTCTAATTGCCGGAACACTTACATATTCCTATTTTCCCCCAGTCACCCTCAGCTTACCACAGCTGAGATGATGGTTGACAAGGCTTATGATACGTCTGCTATTACTTCTAGTAGTTCCAAACAATATCATTTTTTTTCACCCTTTTGCATTCAATAAAAATGATAGGTTTCTTTATTTTTCATGGAACAATGGCTCTCGTCTCCCCACATCGCATGTTTTCCCCCTCCCCTCCCAGAGACTTTCAGAAACGAGTGCCTCGTCTCGCCATTAATGCAATTATCGCTATTGACGTCAAAGGAGGTGTCGGCGCAGCCGACATCTCAATTCGAGCCCCGGCATCTGCGAAACGCGGTAATGATAAACACTTTGCCGCCTTGTTTAGCCAGCCCGTTATTTTATTTTTATTTTATTCCCCCCCAAAAAAAAATAAATATATAAATAAATAAATAAATAATGTCTGAGCGCCAACCTGAAATACAATGGAACAAAATAAGCTGCTAATTCCAAATGCATCTCGATAAATAAAACGAATATTTATTGAAATGCACGGGTGAGAGATCAGCTGCAAATGTGAACGAGGTGCTGATAAATTCTCATTACCTGCTTCGGGCTGACAACTGAAATGGCCTGCTAAGCATCTGCTGGAAATTCAATCAACTACCTGCAAATAGCAGATATTTTATGCAAAAAAAAAAAGGGGGGGAGAAAAGAGAAAGAAAAAATATTCAACAATGGGTACAATAAATATAAGGTTTTGCTTAATATTGAAGGGCCTGCTGGTTTGAGATGGCTATTTGGAGGATGTGGTCTGCCATGAATCAGCAAGCATATATTGGTCCGTTGTGCTTAGCAACCCACCATTTCAATAATGAATCGGCTTACTTCCTGTTACCACTTTCTTGGCTGGTGGTACAAAATTCAGGGTCGCCTTCGCCAGACTGGTTGAAGGTAAGAGCAGAAGGGGTTGGTAGTGTCTTTGGGCCAGTTCACACATGCCTGCATTTCTTATCACTTGATTTCAGCCCTTAGTCATCCACAACGGAATGTGTGAACTGTGTTTGTAGGTGACAGAAGATGCACCTGCTGGATCCGGCCAATGTCCCCATCTAATCCAGCATCCTGTTCTCACAGCGGCCAACCAGATGACTGTGGGAAACCCACAAGCGGGTTTTGAGCACAAGAGCACTCTCTTCCCTCCTGTGGTTTCCAGAAACTGGTATTCAGCAGCATTCCTGCCCTCAAATGTGGAAGCAGAGTCGTTGATAGCACTCTCCTCCAAGAATCAGTCTAATCCTCTTTTAAATTGGTGGCTGTCACTTCTTCCCATGGAAGCAAGTTTCATATCTTAACTGTGGTTGATCTGCAGTCATGAAGTGATGAACCTGCATGCTGTTGTGAGCCAGTGTGGTGTAGTGGTTAAGAGCGGTGGACTCGTAATCTGGCGAACTGGGTTCAATTCCCCGCTCCTCCATTTGCAGCTGCTGGGTGACCTTGGGCTAGTCACACTTCTCTGAAGTCTCTCAGCTTCACTCACCTCACAGAGTGTTTGTTGTGGGGGAGGAAGGGAAAGGAGATTGTGAGCCGCTTTGAGACTCCTTAAAGGTAAAGGGACCCCTGACCATTAGGTCCAGTCGTGACCGACTCTGGGGTTGCGGCGCTCATCTCACTTTATTGGCCGAGGGAGTCAGCGTACAGCTTCCGGGTCATGTGGCCAGCATGACTAAGCCACTTCTGGCGAACCAGAGCAGCGCACGGAAACGCCGTTTACCTTCCCGCCGGAACGGTACCTATTTATCTACTTGCACTTTGACGTGCTTTCGAACTGCTAGGTTGGCAGGAGCTGGGACCGAGCAACGGGAGCTCACCCCATCATGGGGATTCGAACCGCTGACCTTCTTATTGGCAAGTCCTAGGCTCTGTGGTTTAACCCACAGAAGACTCCTTAGGGTAGTGATAAAGTGGGGTATCAAATCCAAACTCCTCCTCCTCCTCTTCTTCTCTTGTTGTTGTTTTTCTCACATAATGAACAGACCATAGACAGCAAGGAGAGAGTTCACTGGAAACTTTTAGGCTTCTGTCAATGATTGGCATTCAGAGTGGATGGCAACCCAACAGCCTTGCCAGAGGGTGTGGTGGATTGGTGGCATGGGCAGTGGGTCTCCTAACTTAGCACCACACAAATGTGTGCCTGCTGTACTCAAGGCCAACTGTGTGTCCATGGTGTCACAATTTGGGGGGAGTTAGACAAATAACTCTCCTCAATTATTGTCACTAGTCTATTTGCATCTTAACAAATGTATTAATGAATTAAATAAATAGCTTACCTGGTTCTCCCCCTTCCTCCTCACAATTATCCTGTGAGGTAGGTCAGTCTGAGAGCTGGTGAAAGGCTGTAGCTTTGCATACAGGAATCTGGCCTCACTGATACGATAATCTTTATTGTCATTGTCCCATACAGAGCAACGAAATTGAAAAAAATCTACATCAGACATTAAAAACCCCACAAGCCTGCTATCCCTGCTATCCCAGCCTGGTTAGCCCCCTAAAAACTCTGATACCCCATAATTAAATACAATATACTCCCGTAGAGGCAACCTTACACTGCATTTAAAACCAAAATCGCATTTGAATAGAAACTGTTTCTCAGGCGGCTAGTCCTAGTCTTTATAACCCTGTACCTTCTTCCAGAAGGCAGAAGCTGAAAGAGATCATTTCCAGGGTGCGCACTATCCTGCACTATCTCTGTAGCTTTCTTATAGCACCTGGAAGCATAGATTTGATCCAAGGTGGGAAGAGTGCACCCAATTATTCTCTCCGCAGTCTTTACAACCATGGACAGCATTGTTTTTCCCCTGACCGTGCAGCTCCCAAACCATAATGGATTTTGCA